TTGCTTCCCCAACTCCCCTCACCTTTCACCCTTACATCCTTATTTGGGGGGCGGGGAACAATGCTACCAAGTCAGTTGTAATAAGATATCCTGCCACATTAATAAAGCAAGCTATTAAAATTATCATAGTTTATAAAATAAACAAAATGATAAGGGTGGTGGTATATGTTATTACTGCTGTTATTTAGTGGGTACTACTACTGTCTGATACTGTGGAGTGCCCTAAAGGATGAGTGAGAGGCAAGCAGACAGAGGAACAGTAAATTACATAATCCTTTAGGACTAAGGACACTGAGTTTACTCTGCTCTCTTGATGGACAGGCTCACACACCAACTTTCCATAATGCTCGCAGCCTAGGCCTATTAAACTGGAGACACTGCAGTTGGAGGTGTGGCTTTGCCATGTCACTCAGCCAGCGTTGTTTCAAATAGTCATTTCTCTTCACTCTGTCTGAAATATGGCTTTATTCACAACTATTCACTTCATTCACAATTCTTCAGAAACACACCTATAATGTCCAGGGGGAGGGGCTGCCCTGTCTAAATTGTTAATTATATCAATGAGTTCACAAGTGGCATTCTAAGTTAGGTGCAACAGATTTACTACTTTTTAAAATATGCAAATGGAACATAACTATTTAGAGTGGAGCTCTGAACCCATGTAGATTGAGACGTGGTTTCTTTGCCGCTGGCTCTGCCAGGCACCCTCCTCATCCTTGTCCCCACCCCCTCCCACTACCTACCCCAATTTTATTTCTCTTCTAATTTTTTATTGACCCACGGTCTCACTTTATTCTTGTTGTTCATCTCAGAATGCATCCTATTTTATTTTTGCTCATTTTCCCTGCATTCTGATCTCGCTTCATGCCAAGGCACCACATGCTATTTCAGGACCATCTGTGTACGTGTGTCCCTCGGGGTCACTGACACCCAATAATGAAGCAATGACTGAGAGCTGCAATTTAACTAGTGTGCATGACTCAGAAATGAAAAGCATTAATACACTGCTTCAGTCAACACTGGTTGACTCTTCTTCAGAAGACTATATTAAAAGCCGTGACTTCTGCTAGCTTTGGGGAATATTTTTATCTAGGGATAAAGTAGGATCATGTTACCATCTAAGAAAGGAAAGAGGACAAATAGAAAACCTGGAGAAGAAAGAATAACCCATAATAAACTCAATACATAAATTTTTTACTAAAATAAAGAAATAATTTTTAATTACCAAAAAAGCAAAAGACTATAAATTATTTCCTTTGGTTCTTATTTCTTGATACCTAGTTCTTCACAACAAAAAAGAAATTATGTATAACTCTCTGCAAACAAAGAAGTCCCTTTGTAGAGAGTGCTATTTTACAAAGAATGCTGCAAAATAAGTCGCCTTGGCAATGTGTACATTATAAACTGGAAGATAAATTAACTGTTGCTTCAATTTATTTTCAAAGGGCTTAGTGACAACAAAATGGGAGGGAAGATGCAAGGGATTTTAAAGCCACGAAGATTTCTGACTCTGCTTTCACATGTCAAAGATCAAGAAACATGGAAAAACAAACAAAACAAATAAAAGGAGGCTTTAACAACTATGATTTCATCCACACGGTTAGGGACCCAATCATCGCAGCCCTATGGGAAATTAATTATATGCCCCTGAATCAAACACATATCTAACCACCTTGCAAAACCTCTCAGGGACAAGATGGAATATTGACTTATCCATTATAGTAGCCTACCTCTTCCATTCATTTAAATTGGAAGCTGGCCATGATCTTCAAGCCCCTGGACACTGTTCTGTGAAGCTAATGTTTCTTACAAATTAAAATTTATGAATTTTAGCTGGGCATAGTTTAGTGGAGAGATACATTCCCAAGTCTCTCTTGAAGCTCAGTCTAGTTAAATGACTAAGTTTTGGCCAATGGGATATAATTAGAAGGGAGGGGGTGTGCCCTTTGCCTCCCCTTCCTCCTGCTGCTGGCCTGGGTGGTAGTCATGTTGACTATAGAGCCCCATCTTAAATCTCTAGGCTACACTCCGGGGTGAGCAGGAAGGATTAGAGCCACTCGGCCAGCTATAAACTGGTTACCATCTATGTGAAGAGAAAGAAGCACTTATCTTGTTTCCATCACCATTAAGGGTTTCTCTGCTATTGGCTGACAGATCTGCCATTAAGTGAGTAAATAACCCATTATTTTCATTTGAGTATCTAGAAAAGTTTATGTCTTGTAATACCTGTTCCTGTTCCCCGGGAAAGCTGCGGATGTCCTGAGGAGACTGAGCTAGGAAGTATATGAATAGTCAGTCTATTGCTGCTGTAATATATTACTATAAATTTAGTAGCTTAAACAGTAGAAATTTATTACCCTACAGTGTGGGAGGCTAGGAGTCTGAAATAGGTCTCACTGGGCTAAATTCTAGGTGTTGCGGGGCTGCGTGCCTTCTGGAGGCTCGAACAAAAAATCTGTTTCTTTTCCTTTTCTAGCTTCTCGGGGCTGCCAACATTCCTTGGCTCTTGGCCTTTTCCCTCATCTTCAAAGCCAGCAAATATACAGAGTCCTTCTCCTGTCACATCACTCTAAACTCTCCTCTAGTCGCATTTCCCTTTGACTCTCCTCCGCACCCTCCTTTCACTTCGAAGGATCCTTACAACTACGTCAGGCTCACCCAGATAATCCAGGATAATCTCCCTATCTTTGGGTCAGCTGATTAACAACCTTAACTCCATCTACAAGCTTAATTTCTCTTTGCCATGTAACAACATATTCACAGGTTCCAGGAACAGGGACATGGGCATCTTTGGGGGCCTTTATCTTTTCCTCTACCTCCATAGAAGGAGACCTCTGTATAGACAGAGAAGGGAAGTGGGGAGGTGGGGGTTGAGATGGGAAAAGAAGAGGAATGGGGCAGAATGCGAATCTAGAAATGTTGGGGAGAGAACACACTTGAAACCTAAATAGATTTAAGAGAAAAAGTTAACATAGGCTTTGATTTGTGCTCCTAGTTTTAGGAGATACATCCTGAGTGTTTTTATCTTATCATATGACCCAACAGAGTCTAGTGCCACTTTTAGAATCACTTTGTGCATTTCCCTCTTTTTTATATCCAGCTGCTTTCCCATAAAAGCAGTGACAAAGTCCCCCTCCTGAAGACTGAAAACTGTGAAGTTAAGTCCTAGACCAGTGTTCCAAAGAGGTATGTGTTTTCCTACAAAGTGGCTATGGCAAATAAAAAAGTCAGCCTCTCTTCTAGGCTTGAGGCATTTGGATAAAGCATTTCACACTTACACACACACACACACACACACACACACACACACACACACCCTCTTTTCATCATATAAAACAGAAACTATATCCAATAAACAATAACTCCCATTCTTTTCTCCCCTCAGCCCTGAAAACAACTATTCCACTTTCTGTTTCTATGCTTTTGGCTGGTCTAGGTATCTCATACAGGTAAAATCATAGTCTTTGTCTTTCCATGACTAGCTTATTTCACTTACCATAATGTCCTCGAGGTTTATCCATATTGTAGAGTATGTCAAAATTTCCTTTTTTAAGGCTGGATAATATTTCATTTTGTTGATGGGCACTTGGGTAACTTTCATGTTTTAGCTACTGTGAATAACACTTCTGTGCACATGGATGTATAAATATCTCTTCAAGACTCTACTTTCAGTTCTTTTGGGTATATTCCTAGCAGTGGAATTGCTGGATCATATGGTAAATCTTTTTCATTTTTTTGAGGAACAGCCATACTGTTTTCCATAGCACCTGCACCATTTTACACACTTATCAAAATGCACCAAGGTTCCAATTTTTCCTTATTTCACCAATGCTTGTTATTTTTTTATAGTAATCATCCTAATAAGTGAGAGGTGATTTCTTGTTATGGTTTTGATATTTCTTCCCTAATGATTAGTAATATTGAATGTCTTTTCCTTATCAACCATTTATACACCTTCTGTGGAGAAATGTCTATTCAAATCCTTAGCTCATTTGTTTATTTTTTAATTCTTTAAACATTTTTATTTTTTCCATTACCATTTAACTCCCTTATACTCTCCCCACCCCTTGCAACCACCACACTTAGCCCGCTTTGAATTTTTCTCGTTATAATATTTTTATTACTATCTAGAATATATAGGAGTTCTCTTTCATGAATTGCCTTTTCACTGTGTTAATAGTGTGCCTCAAGGCACACAAGTTTTTAATATTCATTAAGTCCAATTTGTCTTCTCTTTTTTTGTTGCTTGTGCCTTTGTTGTTATATCCAAGAAATCATTGCTAAGTCCAATGTTGTGAAGCTTTTGCCCTATTGTTTCTTCAGAGTGTTTTATAGTTTTTAGCTCTTTTATTTAGGTCTTTGATGCATTTTGAGTTAATTTTTGTATATGGCATTAGGTAAGAGTCCAACACCATTCTTTTGCATGTGGATATCTAGTTTTTCCAGCATCATTTGTTGAAAAGATTGTCTTTTTCCTATTACCCTTGTTGAAAATCATTTGACAATATACATGCGGGTTTATTCTCGGACTCTCTATTCTGTTCCTAAATTAATTCTATTTTAAGTTAATTACTAAGTATTTTCTTTTTTTGATGCTATTATAAATGGAGTTTTAAAATTAATATCCTTTTCACATTGCTCATTGTTAGCGTACATAGATGGCATATCACTGCTATACATTAATGGGGAAGAAGAAGCCTGCTGCCTTCTACCCTTCCTGATTGGAGAGCGGTTGCACGCTGTGAGAAGTGTGGTTGGGGAAAGGGTCTTGCACCTCCTTGGCATCATGGGCCCGAGAAACCCTGCTGACCGAGTTAGATGCTGAAGCAGTTTCAACAAGGAAGCACAGACACAAATCAGACATTCTCAGCTAATGTTCCTGTTTCATTTTACATGTAACCCAAATGAGGCAGAAGTGATTTTTTTTAGATAAGAGGGAAGGAAACTGTTTGAATACACTAACTAAAATAGCTAAAAGAATAAATAAAATTCTGCTGAAGAGACCATGCAGATAAAGCTTTAAAACACACACACCTGGGCTGTCAGAGGGCCGCTCCGGAGATTTACCCAGGTGGGTGTTCTACGTCTTCTACAAATCAGTGGAGCAAAGGGAAACTGAGTCAGCTTCTGGGTCTTTTGGGGAAACTTTGGATTCCTGAGGCCATTTCTGGAATCTCAGAACATCCCTGGGAATCAGCGGCAGTGGTGATCAAGGGTGGGTAGCACTAGAGTGACACTCTTTGGTCCAACAAGCTTTTCTTAGCCCAGCAATTGGTAGCACCTGTCAAGAACCAGCTCATATGGCAACTAACTTATGGTACAGAATATGGGTGATTACACATCTCTAAGTTTGAATTAGGGAACGGTAATACTGCATACTAATTCTTTCAGAATTCTATAGCCAAAAGTTCTTTTTAAAATTCTAATAATTTACTCTCTGGAAATTCCAAATGGGATTCAATCTATTCTCCAGGCCCCACACCAGATTCACTGGCTGTGGTTCTCAGTCAGAGGAGGTACCACCCCTTAGGAAGCATTGGGAAATGTGCGGGGCGGTCTGGGTTATGACAATCACTAGAAGTGCTCCTGGCATTCGGTGAGCGGAGGCCCAGACTCTCACACCCTGCAGAGTGCCAGGCCACAGTGACTTGCACTGCTCCAAAATGGCCACAGAGCCATGCATGGAAAATCTGCTCAAAGAAAGTGCTCCACAAGGGAAGTTTCTTAAGTCTAATGTCTTATGATCCCTATTTCCTTTCCAGTGATGAATAAGTGTTAAGTGCTCATAATTTCATTAGCAGTGTGCTTTATGGAAATTTGATTCCTGCTATCAAAAAGAGAACATAGTCTGTTTCTTGCAATGTGCTGGTAGAATGAGATTATGCTGGGTTTTCTCTGGCAGTGAGCAAAAAGAATACAAACAACAGAAACCCCAAGAACAATGATAAAGCTTGTATATGACAGACTGGCAGGAATCTGCAGGAATGTCCTAATTATCCCACCTGAATTCCAAACCCAAGCATAATACAGAAGGCATTTTATTCTTCTCAGCCCATGAGAGGAGCATTTTCCCACCCCGACCCCAGCAACGTTAGAGAGAGACCCATTATGGAATAATAAGCATTAGATGAGTTTTCTCTTCCTAAAAATACATCCAGCATTTTAATTTCTTTCAGGAGGAACTTTTCTGTTAAGAAACCACACATTTTCTTGCCATGGAGACTTAAGGATATACATACAACCTCTTATTTCGGTGACACAAAGATAAATAAATGTTTTGCTAATGGAATCCTCGCCTTACAGAGTGCAGGGTAATTGCAGAGGATTCCATTTTTTTTTTGTACACTAATGGTGTTTTTTAAGCCTGGTATCCGGCAGGCTTCCCTGTGGCCTTTCATTTTAATTATAACTGTGTGTTTCCCAGAACTGTGTTGTGATATTTGCAGTAGGTGCTAAGGGGGTTTGATTTATTTGTTTTGTATATTTACAGGTTCAGATTACATTGGCAATAAAACAAGCAATTTTAGGTCTACAGAACAAATTAGAGGTTTATAGTCTCCCAGTCACCTGATGATACCTTTATTATTCTCATTTGTCAGTTAGCCATATCATTCATTTGTGAGTGGTTGTTACTTGCTTTTGAATTACAGGACTAATTTCAAATTATTCCAATTTAAAATATTTCAGAGTTTCTTCCTACAATTAGTCACCTAGATAAATATCTTTGTTAACTGTTCATGCCACAACCCAAGTTTAGCTTGATCATTTTGTCATTCTTTTTTTTTTTTTGATCACTAATTTATTCTGCAGCAAGTAAGTATACCATCATGAACTTGATTAGATCACGCACACAAAGAGTAAAGTTAATGTGCCTTCCTGTGAAGGGCTTTAACCGTCAGAACACCAGTGAATTTATGCATAGCAGCTGCAGTGTGTATCAAATAGTAATTGTAAAACAGTCTGCCAGGCTTCAGTGTGGTTTTTTGTCAGGCATCTCTCTCTACTACCAGTTGGCCACTTTGACTTGATACCAAAATAGCACATTTCAATCTAATAGTGTGTACTAATCAGCACACACTAATTCCTTTTTGGTTCTCCAGACACTGGGGACATTTTAAATCAATAAGGGATTTATTTGTGAAGCTCGGTGCTTTCCCCCCAACACCTTGAAGCCCCAGAGTATCAGGGCTGGAATTGGTCTTGGATGCTCACTCTTTCCCAACTATGTGTTTCAACAACTGGAGACGTCACCAAGATCTATTTTGGGTGTCACAATATCCTAGTTTCTTCATTTGCCTTTGCTCATTTTTGAGCAGTAGTGTGGAGGCTGCAGGTGGAGAATAAAAACAGAGATGAGAATAGGGCAAGTGGGGGCAGGGTGAGAGGTAGAGTAGGGCATATCCACACAGACTTGGGCATGGAGGAGCTTGGGGACAAAGCGTATAACACTATTTAATCCTCACCCTAGGATATATTTATTGATTTGAGAGAGGGAGGGAGGGAGGGGGGGAATTGATTGGTTGCCTCCTGTATGCACCCCAACCAGGTATCAAACCAGCAACCTAGGTATATAGATAGGTGTCCTGACTGGGAATTGAACCCATAACCTTTCGGTGTATAGGATGACACTCCAACCAACTGAGCCACCCAGCCAATGCTGAAATGATACTGAAATCCACTGTAACTGGTTGATATTTGAGAAGAGGGGTACCTGGGAGGTGAAGGGAGGGGAGAGGAGGGGACCCAGGGAGGTGAAGGAGGCACAGGAAAACATCCTCCCCTGGGGAACCTCAGGGAGTTCACAGGCAGCCAGAATGCAGAGAGCTGGACAACACAATGGTGGCTAAGGTGAAATATGGATTTGTAAAAAAAAAAATAAAACGGGTCTTCTAAGTGCCTTTCCCCCCATTCCACCCCTCCTCCACCTTCTAGTGCTTCCTATTTCTGGGAATTCAATTTTATAGGCCAAAAGCTCTGTTCTTTCACTGGAGGACCAGGAACTCATATTAAAAAATGAATATTAGCTTATAAACCAAGGGCTTGCCATGTGCCAGGAAGTGGGCCAAGTCCTTTAAAGCGTTACCCTATTTAACCCTCACAGCTCCAGGGGAGTCAGTAACCACTGTATCCCTAGTTGGAAGAAACTGAAGTTTAGATTAAATCAGAACGTTAGTGAGATGGGTGTTTCTGAATCAGGTTCCTCAGGGATTTTCTTCCAGCCTCTTAATTCACATTTTTAGAAGAAGCAGAGTGATCCCAATCTGGGGCCTGTGGTATATGTTTGGTCATTTCACAAACATAATAGCAATTTTTACGGTCTTTGTAGCTACAGAGAGAGCAAATGCGAATGAGGGCTAGTGTGGAAGCTATAGCAAGCAAAAGGGCCAATAGGAAAGCAAAGGAACCAAGGGAGCGACATCACCTTAAAACCCACTCTGTACTACTTCCGTGCAGGTTTGTGGGGACATTGCCACTTGCCCATTGGGAGAAACAAGATCCTGCCTGATTTCCCTCAAGCCAGCGAGGAGTTGTCTATGCCGTGTAGGTGGAGAGTAAGGCACAACACAGCTTCCCTGTTGCGCTGGGTGCCAGAAACCATTACATGGACTGAAAGCTTTCTACTTTCCAGTAAACTGTTGCTTTTGAAACAACATCTCTGTGAGGTGCAGCCCTCCTCTTAGAAAAGGCATCATTGGTTAGCGGCTTTTAACGACCTTGACAAAAACACAGCCCTTGAAAAATGTTGACTTAGTCACGGATTTCACCGATTGTGTAAAATGAAACAGGAATGAATAGGCCATGTTGCAACTTAAAAATCACACGTAAGCTTTTAGTTTTTATCTGAGCCTTGGATAAGGACACCGCTTGTTATCCACAGATGGGGCTGGCAGTCTTAGATGTTAAATGGGCTTTGTTCACTCCACGAAAAAAAGATTAGTATTTTGTGTGGCATATGTTGAATTTTCTTTCCTTTCTTTTCTCCTTCTTCATTTTTTTTTTTTAATATGGAAGCCCAGACCATGAGCCAGCAGGATTCCAACAAAAGAAAAATAATGAGCTCGTTTCCATAGAAATGGCTCTGTTAACCTCCTGATGTCTAACACTGCGCAACAGCAGGCAAGGGGGATCTGACAGGCAGCAGCCTTCTGTCTCCTTGTAGGAAATTATCTATTGGTTAATTAATTTCTTAAAAAAAAAGAAAAAACACTGCTTCAATTCTAAATTCTCAGTGGATCTCCAGCCTTAGGCAGCTCTGGGGTCCAGGGAGCCCTGCCTGTCAGAGCTTCCTTGCCACTCTGCCAGTGGCCCTTAGGCTTACAGAAAGGTAGCTCCAGAAGCCCTCCGGTTGAGCTCCTCAACACAGTCCCCTGCCCCCGGTAAGAACTGGACCTGCTCCATTCAGATTTGCTTTTATCACCGTGTTGTCTGGGGATATTCCCTGTGACGCAACTGATGGGTGGTGCAAGAGTGAAAAAACAGGCTCTAGAAGATAGGAGACCTGAATTCTAGTGTATTCTGACACTCCCAGCTGTTTTTGGTGGGAAAATCATTTCATCTTTCTGGGGCTCAGTGGCTCAGCTGTAAAGTGGAGATAACAACTCCAGGATTGCACAAGTGTGCTTAATGCTTGTGACAGCATGTTACGCCTTATGGAGTGCTATGCAAGCAGCAGGCATGACTAGAAAATGACCACCACCATTTATTGAACAGCTACTAGACACTGGGCCCTAAGAACATTACATACATAATATCCAATCCTCATAACAAGGGACGTGGAAAAAGAGTCAGTGACTCAGAAAGGCAAAGGGAAAAATCTAGGATGATGATCAACCATGACTCTGTTAAGTGAGAACTTAATAAGCATGAACTTGACATTCCAAAGGGAAGGAAATCTTTGGGAGGAAGATGAGTAAATCTTTACATTCAATTTTGAACTTTGCAATTTGCGTTGACAACCCATGGAAGAGGTGGAGATTATGTGAAAATCAACTGTGATTTAGAGTTAGTAAACAAGGATTTATTGAATGCTTGATGTGTGTGCGCCAGAAGCCTGTGCCCAGGTTACACATG